TGATTGCTTACCAATGCTGACCCTCCACTGAATATGTTAATGAATCATTATGTTTCTATCTCAAATTCATGCTTCATTTACATAGATTTCCTTAGATGCTTTATTTTGTTTTTATATAGTGCGTTTTGTTTTATTCGAACATAGTACGTAAGATGTTGGATATAGTTTGATAAGAAGTGTGAGATTAGGATTACTAAACTTTGTTGAATAGTTTTCAACTTACATAACAACATTATGTTTATGCTTATTTATAGGCATGAAAGACTGAATTTAGAAAATTCTAAAAAAAATTCTAAAACTTTATATTCTTTCTATTTAAATATTTTAAAGTGTTCTAATTTAATACAAATATCCTTAAATCTTCTATTTAAGACAAGATAGAATATTCTAGAATATTGGAGAAATAACATCAATCTTATCACTTCTCTTTCCTAGATTATGAAAGACTTCACTTTTTTTGGTAATAAAACTTATCTACTTTAGAAAAATTATATGTTTCAGACTGTTGTATTCTTTCCAAGGAAGAACTTAAAAAAACCATAATTTTGTAGATATGAATTCTTGTCCTACTCTTATATGAATTAAAGGGAAATCTTAAGACATTTAAATGCCATTGTACATAAAAAATATGACCGCATGTATCTCGAGGAAATCTAATGGATCTTGCATATGAACATTAAATTATAGTGTATCAGAATAGGCAGAAGATGGAAAAGCCAAGCGTCATTTCCTTCGGTCAGAACTTTGAATTGACCAAACAAAAGCACAACAAAAAAAAAAGAATAGAAGACACCTAATTTGTGGGACAGTTGCTCATTAACAGCTCCCTCGGTTGATTCTGGAATTCTTGATAAAGATGGTCAATAGGCACCCCATGGAAAATCTTTCTGATCCTTTGAGAAGACCCCTTGTCCAATGAGAGCTAATTGTCAAATAATAGTGGTATACTCTCGACTTGATGACCCAAGTTCACCCTAATGACAAGAGGGTCTCTATTTAAGAGTCCATTGAGAGGGTTGCGACCAATGCCATTTCAGCCGACCAAATGTATGTCTGCCGACAAAGTTTTTTAGCCTACCGAATGACAAGTGTACTGAGTCGTTAGATTCCCCTCTTCAAGCAGTTATAAATAGAAATGTTGCCTATGTCAGTTATAAATATGAATGGGTTCCGGAGTTGGTTACAGATACAAAAAGGTATGATAATAACTTGTAAATTTCATATTAAAATAATGACAATCATGTAATTTTACAAGATACCCTTGGAACATATAAATTAGGGTCATTTCTCCAATAAATGACTATTGAATGTACTTTATCAAAACTCTTGTGTTATTGTGTGCACACAATCTCTCAATCGTTCTTTTTCTCGCTCTTTTGTTTTACTCATATGTCCTACACTCTATTCCTTGGGTGTGATCCACAAGATTTATTTGGATTCAACAACCATGATAGAACTTTAAGTTTCATTGATCCAAATAAATGGGTGACCTAATCTTGTGAAAGCCCCCTCATCTCAATTTTTCCTTAAATAACTATATTTTGTGAATCAAAATCCCATGCTATGTTACATAAACGAAAAATAATGTCATGGAGAATAGATTTTGATGATTCGGTCATGCACTACAAAAGCTAAGAGATACAATGAAAAGATAGTTATGAAAGATTAAAATGTCATATTCTCTGATACCACTTTGTTGGAATGGAAAAGCTTTTAGGAAATGACAAAGGCTAAAAACACAACTTATGGAAGAAGCTTCACTCTTATTTATCACTTTTACTTGGCTTGATACAAACTCAAAGACTCCACCCCTATTTATACTAGTGGCACCTCCTAAATTAATGGCTAAGATTGTGCCACCACAATTACAATCCAATGGTTACAAATAATTCCACACCTACCACACAATAATTCAACACCTACCACACCTACCACACCTACTACACAATAATTTTATACCTACCACATATTCTAGAATAAGCTTATAGAAATTAAACTTTATTTAAACAACTAAAACAAGTTTATATTTCAACAATAATTAGTAGTAGTTTTAATTGTTGCAATGGTACTAACAGTTAAAACTGCTGTAAAAGTAGTCACCACTAAAAACATTCTTGACGGTTTTAAAACCGCTGCAAAAAGCTTTTATAGGGCTAAAAGTTGCAGTTATTTAAAATCCCCTGCAATAAAAATAGCTGTGGTTTTTTACCGTTGCAATAGTCTGCATCAAGTACAGTTAAAACTTTTTTTTAGTAGTGAAAGAAAGGTTTGAAATGAAGCTTATTGTACCGAAAATTGTGTTTGAATATTCTCATATGCACTTCGGAAAATATACAAAATGATATCTTTGAGGTGAACAACTATCTTCTCTTAATGTAGACATCATTATGCTTAACTTTAGCTTTAAATCTATCCAACTTGATCTAGCTGAAGTTCCTTAGCTTAATTCTTGGATGTGTCAATCAAATTTTGATCATGTGGAATTTGATCTCCATAAAAGAAGATAGACCCTTGAAGATTGAGCCTCGCCTGAAAGATGCACCTTGATGTATAAGCATCACTCTACGTGCTTTTTGGTGCATTTCCCACCAACAATTAAATTTGCTATTTTAATATCTCCAAACAAGAGATTGTTATATATTAACATATCCAAGTGTACTCAATCGTGCATCTTATACCTCTAAGTTGAGTTTGGTTTTAATCAATCAAGCTTAATGTGCCATAAATTTGGAGTCAAATTCTTGAACGTCTAAATCATAGTCAACCATATAATCCTTTGGCAAACTTTGAGCCATATATCGATGAGATAAACTCGCATACTTTCATCTAATATATTTCAAAGTATGATAGTGAATGTTGCCTTTTGGTCTTCCAAGGTTAATGGAATGGGTTCTCCAAATCTGCATGAGATAATAAAATTATAAAATATTTGATCAGGTTGAACATCCATTTTTAGACGATATAATCATTTCCACCAAATTCAGGACAAAAATAAATCTCACTTTGTTTTATTTTTTCAAACATTTTAAGTTATACACATAAAAAATACTAGCACGAATCTAAAAAAGAATGAACAATCAAGATGAAAGAGCCTCATCTCAAGGTAAACAATCAATTGAATATTCAAGGCCTAGCACGAAGCAGTGTCTCTAAACCCTAAAATAGGTTCTCCACCACGAGCGGCAAGGCTTGTTGAAATTGAGGCTTAAAATCCCTGTAGCGAGTTTGGTCTGATACCTCAGATAGACCGCGACAAGATCCGCTTAAGACCTTGCAAGATTGGAAGATCCGACCGAGGTGATGAGGCAGGTGAGACACGAGCCCTATAAGACCCGAGCTGAACGAAAAATGAGTCACGATTCACTCAACAAAAAAAAGCCGACCGATCACATTTGATCGACCAACCTCGTGTACGCACCGAACAACCATCTTGCAATTGACTGCTCTGGCCGACCGTGCCACAAAACACTGAGCAAGATTATTATACGGCTAAACACCTCGATCTACCAACACGTACTTTAAAGGGTACAGATGTCATTCGTTTGGCCTCCTAAGTCGTCCGACTTCAAATCGGCAACCAACAAATTACTGCTAATGTTTAAATTCAAATTGAAATGCAAATGTGAGAAAATTTTAAATCGGCGACCAACCAATAACTGCTAATGTTTAAATTCAAATTGAAATGCAAATGTGACAAAATTTATACAATCAATAAGAGCCTTAAGGGCATTAAAAATGGTTTTCATAATTGTTCCCTCCTTTCTATAAATGAGCCTCTCCCTCGATTCTCTCTACAAAAATCTCAGACTTATTCTACTCTCTCTTCCTTCTCTCATTCACTCGACTTTTACTCTCGAAGCGTGATTCACAAAAGAAAATTAGGATCTAACACAAGTGATGCCTTTATTACTTACAATTTGAATAGTCTTTGTTTCTCTTCATTTATTTCTGATTAAAACACTTGTTAATTATAATGGGAAATGCACCGATTTAAGCTAAGTGTAGTAACTTAAGTTGACCTAATTTATAAGAGTAATATTGGACTTACTTGATTCATCTTGTTCAGATTCTCGATTAGGCTAAAATTTCTCAGATTTGTAATCCGTTTGACAATCAAATTATGAACTGAAACTTTCAAAAATAATTTAACAACTTGATCTGGCTTTGATTTTTATTTGTGATGGGGGTTCATTTCCTAGAACCGGTCAATTTGACTATAATTTTGTTGAAATTATAGTTTCCGATTTAACTTTTAATCGAAGTTTAATATTTTCTCAAGATTCATATTAAAACACAAAATTATTAATGACATATCAATAATAATAATATTAATAATATTACTAATAATATCAATAATATTGTTAATTGCAAAATCGCTGAGTAAGAAGTCGATTGTCATTTTTTAAAATTAAATTTTAGAATTTATCTTTTTATTAAAACATATTTTAAGAATGTCTACTGTAAAAAATCCCATATAAATTGTCAAAAACATTTGAGCCCTACAATGATCAAGAAATATTTTATTTATATTTCGAGTATGATTTAGGGTTAAATTGTGACAGCTGCAACTTATTGAATAATCTGCTGATAAATTGATTAAAAATAATCAGTTGATAAGCTAGATGTAATGATTATTATAGTATTTTATTTTTTTGAAAAAGTATCACTACAAGAAAACTGCCACCACATCTAAAAAACGATATTTTTAGCATTTTCAAAACGCATAAGCTGCCAAAACGCAGTTTACCCAAACATATCAAGTGCGTTCTCAAACTTCAAACTATATTGACTACAAATATACTTAAAAACTGCCCCAAACGAACCCTTAAGCCGATTATTAAACACAAGTATTTTGCGACTTCGAACTCAAATGCTTAGCCATCACTTCATGCTATATTGACTATAAATGTACTTAAAATGGAGCTTAAATTATCTTAAAACCCTTTTCTTAAATCTCAAACTTAATGACGTTAGATCCAAATCCTGCGCATAGAATCTCATCGAAAAAGAGATGGAAAACGTCCATTTTAATTATAATATGCTGCAACTCATACAACTAGAAAAAGCAATAACATTACAGCAATAATATCCAGCACACCACAACCAAGGGTGCAGCCTCTTGCAAAACATAAACACAAACTAAAATCGAAAGACAGAACCCACAGACAACAATACATAAATAAGTCTCCGTAAATCCAGTCTCCACTTTATTCCCCAGATCATCAAACCAAAGCAGTGCTCGATGAGTACCCACGTCCTTGGAGCTCAGCGCACCCTGCATTCACAAAAATATGAACCAAAACCAAATCAGAAATTAATCTAAGGCGTTAGATAGTTACTTGGAGCAGTCGGTGGAGGTGCTGATGGGATATGGAACATTGACGCCGCAGTTTCCAGGAAGTCCAGCAGCAAGGGCAGGGTTCATATTAGGGATACGGCTGGCGAGATTCTTGAGGCAAGCACATGCCGTCTGACGGTCAGGAGTGGTGCTCGCCATCGCGTTGAGTTTCTTCACCCCACTGCAACATCCTCCGGTGAGCTGGCCCATGCCTCGAATATAGCTGATGCACGATGTCAAGGATGAGACCACCTGGCCGCAAGTCATGGCCCCGCTCGCCTCGCGGAAAACTCCGGAAACAAGGAGGAAGGACAGTATGCATACGACTGCCATCGAAGCAGTGGAGCGAGCCATTGAGGAAAAGTGCTAGCAAACAAGATGAGGAGTGAAGGAAGTGAAGGAGGTAATGGGGAATATAAAGGCCGGGAGGGGAAGCTGGTGGTTGGCGGTGGCAGGGTTAATAGGGGGGTCTCAATAAATGTGCATTGAAGAGCTGCCGTATGAGTTTGAATTGTGGACGTGTTCGAGCCATTATATCGAGCCAGATCTGCGTCTCGGTGCGGTTAATGAATGGGCACATATTGTTTTGTATACTTTCGGGGTTTTTTTTGGGGCGGTTTGGTCATAAATGTACCTGTCAGGTTCGGACATTCATTGAGTTGAAATGATAAAGATGATGGCCGTATGAAGTATATGTATGATAGACTCGAGAGTTTTTGTTTAATGAAGATGTCCGACGTACCTGCATATTTCTTTAGTTGGTGCCCTTCTTGATTTTTTTGCTATTTTTAAAAAAACTTGTGCAGCTAACGCAGGCAATAGTTGGGCAAACCATGGTTCGAACGCAATGAAATTTTGATTGACGGCTACGCTGATGCTATCGATTGAGCTGTTGAGGTGTTGCGCTCAATTTTCCAAAAATTCGTAGAAAATTAAAGAAGTTGGTCCGTTTTAAAATACATGCAGCCAATCATGGACTTTTTTTTTTGCTCTTTATTTAGGAATATTTCTTAATCAAAAGAATTACAGATAATAGTAGATAAGTTGGAATCTTCTAAATATGAGAAAGTTACATTGTCAAAAAAATAAAAGGAAGAACTATTCTAAAAAAAAAAACAAAAACATAACATAAACAAGATGATAAGATGGGTGATGGGCTCATAGATACCAAAGTACTCTTCGCCCAAGCACAATGTAGTGATAGATTTCACAATCAAATGGTAGATGAACTCATCAAATTGTAGGTGAACTGTCTTTTTTTTTTCCTTTTTGGTCCGTGAACTGCCTTGCTTAACCTTATGGTCAAAAATATTAGGGTCTTCATCATGGCCCGTCCCAAAAAAAAAAATTCCCCAAAGATTACGAAGTAACATCTGGAACGTTAACATCACAAAAGTTAAAATAGTCCACTAATTATTCAAAAATAAAATAAATTCCAAGATAGCAGACTACAGGCAAGCGTAAGAATGATTATAAGACGTCATAACATAAAGCTAGAAATGTAACAAGACGTGCACAAGAAAATCAAAAGACAAAATGCAATAGCAAGATTGCAATGAGACTGTATATAATCATATGTCTAGAACACTAAAGTAAATAAACATAAACTAGTAGATCTCAAAAAATAAGGTAGCAAACTATCAATTTATGTTCATTATTCCAAGATGAACCATTGTCAAGATGGTTACGTTCATCCAAAAAAAAGTTCTATGAATGGCCACATAGTATACTAACATCAAAAAGTATAAATCAACAATATATTGACACATGTAAAATACATCTTATATTAGGAACCCATTGTAAGATAATGAAATCAGCAGACAAAGAAAATTACCAATCAATAGGTTGTGGTAGTTTAATTACGAGTAACTGTCTAGGTAAAAGGGCTTTTGTGGGATGATAAAGCTCCACTTTTAGCAAAATTGCACCCAATCGAAAGGGGCTCATAATTTTCAACATAATAATGAAAAAGAAATTCCATCTAAATCTATCAGATTAAAAATGATGTCCAAAAATGCAGTGAGATAAGGGATGATAAAGAATCTCAAGAAAGGATTGAAAGGCTACGTACATGAGAGAGAGCAAATAAAAAAGAAGTAATAGGAGCTGGGTGAATGTTTAATAAAATGCTAGAAATCATCGTTGCTATATTAAACAATTAATGAAATAGTGTCATATAAAATATAATGTATGAATGGTCAATTGTATCTCATCTCTTAACACTACTAAGAAAGTATGAATTTAGCAACATAATTATACAGCGGTTTTTAAACCAATGTTAAAACCTACAATTTCATGGTGGTTTAAACTAACATTTTTAAACAACCTTATTTCCACTCATTCTCTCACACGGTACATCTCACACAAAGTCCTCGATTGCAGCCCTAGTAGTGTGTGATCTCCTCATTGGGAATGCACAGAGACATTAATACCTTAGCCTCAATCTTCAATTTTAGAACATTTGGAGCCCTAATAGTGAAGAGACTCTTTGAACTTTCACAATGCTCGAATGCCTAGCCATGCCCCTCCTTATTTTGCAAAATTCATGTCGGTCTCCTTACATCTCCACTATTCTCTGCCCAACTCAGCCCTCCTATCTCCGACAATTGACATCCAAGATCATCTAAAGTGGTTTGTTGAGCCCCTCTTAGACTACCAAGATCTCCTTTGATTTAGTTTCACCTCTCTCTATTTCTTCACATTTTTGTTGTGGGTCTCTTTCCAGATCTACCAATCATTGCTCTACTTCATAGCTCAAATATGATGCTTTGCTTACTGATATACCTAAAATATATAGTCTTTGTGTACACATCTTTGTACCTTTTTTTTTTTGAGATATTACTTTTTAATGAACTGTATTTGTGTGTTTTTTTTTCATGTACAATCGAATGGATAAAAATTGGTGAAAGAAGTGAAAAAGGATCAAATTTGGAGCAAAAATGAAGAAGGTGTGAAAATGAACTGAGGCGCCTAAGCGACCAGGAATGACACTTACGCGCCAGTTAAATAGAGAGAGCCACGCCTAAGCATCAGGTATCTCGCGCTTAAGCGCCAAAAGTAGTTTTTTGATGATTCATTAAATTTGGACGAATTTTTGAAGAGGTGTTTGAAGAAACCCTTGGTGAAATTATGGGAAACAGTTAATGGATACGAAAATTCATTCAATTGGCTTTTGAAAGGAGGCAACTTCCAGAAGATTCCTTGAATGGGGTCACATTTTGAAGAGACGCCAAAGCATCATTTGGAAAATTATAAAGAAGACTTGGATAAAAGAGCTGGGGGCCATAATTCATCCACAAAATCTAGAACCAACCACCACACGCCACCGCCGACGTTGCCCACTTTTCTTTTTATTTTAAGTTTTAGTTTGTATTGTAAGTGAAGGAAGAGATTCAAAAGAAGTTCAAGACTTTGGTGGAGAGGATTTTGAGATAAGTTTTTATCTTTGTGACTACATTTTATTTTAATTTAAACTTCTTATTTGTGTGCATGATTTCTACTTTCAAATTCAAAGAAGTCAATATTTGATTGGGCATCTCCCATGATTTCTGAGTAGTTTTCTTTATCTTTTTTCTTGTCTTGAGATTTTGTGAAATGGTGATTTAAATTGGTTGAGCCTTGAGAATGTTAAAAAGAAGTTGTGATGATTTTAAACCTTTTACTTCATTTACTTCTTGATTTTGCTAATTAAGATGTTAATACCTGTTGTGAGAACATGTAAGATCTGAGATGGTATTGTTTCAGTCAATAAATGGCAAGAATCACATTTGATTTCATGGATGAGAATGTAGTTCATGTGGTTGTGTGAAAATAAACAGGGAAATAAAATTTGAAGAGGACTTTAGAGTGACAGGCTTAAGCCTCAAATTTGGTTTATAGTTTTAGGTTTTGATACAAGATGTTGATACAAGTTTTAGGTTTTGATACAAGATGTTAGCCCCCAGGTAGAGGGAGAAGTGGGAACTTTAGAGTGAGAGCTAGTATCTTCCTTACCTAGCCTGCCTTCAAGACAATTCAAACTATAGATTAGCCAATATTTTTAATAGCATCTCTAGTAAGGGTAAAGAATATTATTGCTCCTATTTGGCACAACACAATTAGACACAACACAATTAGAATTTCCACAACAGAATTGCTATACTTGTTACTGATTCATGATTAGGAAAAAGAAATTTTATTTATATTGTCTTCATCTTGCAAATATCTAGCTAAGTTAATTAGTTGCTTACTTTATTTTCAATTATTAAAATTTACAAAAAAGAATCAAACTTTCATTCCTATTATAACATCTAGAGTTTAAGTAAAAATATTTTGCTAAGTAGAATTTTGTTATCTAACTTCTCCTATTTTGTAATTGCATATTGTTGTTGTCCCTGTGGGTTTGATATTCGGGGCTTAATTAAAAAGTCCTATAATACTTGATAACGATACGTATACTTGCATAGTATCCTATATTTAAATTTTATAACTGTATTCTTATTTGCTTCAAAGTCAAAATTTTACCTAGCTTTTGCTTGGGATCAAGTTTTTGGCGTCATTGCAAAGTAAGAATTATAATTAAGGAAATCAAGAATATAATCACAAACAATGCATTATCATATAAAAAGAGCATATGACACCAAGTTTTTGGCTGTTGTTGTCGGGGATAGATAACAAAAATTGCAAAATTTTTAAAGAATTTTTTGAAAGCAAACGAAAGAAAATTTTTATTTTAAAAAAGTCTTATTTAAACTCTTAGATTTATTATAGGAATATTGTAATATTGTTTTTATAAAAAATTCTTGTTTGTGTGTTTTTATTTTATGTTTCGTAGTAATGTATGCGTAGTTCAGGTTCTACAAGACTTGTGCCATACGATTCTGAATTAGAGAGAACTATTAAAAAAATTAAACAATTAAAAATTAGTGAATAAAATAAAAAATTTCAAGAAATGGAAAATCAAAATAATGAAAATGCTAAAATTCATCAGTAGTTCAGACCTGTAAGTGATTATGCAAACCCTACAGTGGATGAACTTCATTGTAGTATTCAAAAACCTGATGTAGCGGTTAATTCATTTGAACTTAAAGCCGCTATGATCTAAATGGTACCAAATAATCAGTTTGGGGGAGAACCAACTAAAGATCAAAATTTACATCTAAGGGATAAGGCTAACAATGCAAAGGATGCTGGTGAAAAAAGACTATTGCAATTAAATGAGCTTGAAGAGAAAATGAATGAATTTTATGAAAGTGCTAAGATTTAAAAAAAAAACGAAGAAGATGTGGCATGATCATAGGATTCTTACTAAAAAGTTTTATTCAGGGCAACAAGTTTTCCTATATAATGCAAGATTAAGATTATTTCCAGGCAAACTTAAGTCTAGGTGGATGGGCCCATTTATTATGTTAAAAGTTTATCCTT